TGGAGCATCTCTGTGATGAGGAGAGGCTGAGGGACGTGGGGCTGTTCAGTCTGGAGAAGAGAAGACTGAGGGGGATCTTATCAACGCTGATCACTCCTTCAAGGGAGGGTGCCGGGGGGTGGGAACAGTCTGTTTCCAGTGGTGCCCAGTGACAGGACAAGAGGGAACGGGCACAAACGTGACCATGGGCAGTTCCATCTCCACCTGAGGAGGGCCTTCTCTGCTGTGAGGGCGGCAGAGCAGTGGCACAGGCTGCCCAGAGAAGTGGGGGAGTCTCCCCCTCTGGAGCCATCCCAAACCCGCCTGGACGCCGTCCTGTGCCACTGCTGGAGGTGCCCCTGCTCTGGAAGGCAGGGGGGGGACTGGGGGAGAGGTCCAGAGGGACTTTCCCACCCTCACCACTCTGGGATTCGCCAAGTCACTGTGGACTAGTTAAATCCCAGGTTTTTGGAGGCTGTTGGCTTACCTTGCACATTCAGGCCATCTTCTTGCTGACTTCTTCCACGTGACTATAACGCAGTGGTTGATCAGTAAGGTTTGCCTGGCAGAGAGCTGCTATGGAAACACACCATGTTCTGTTGTGGTGGGGATGATGGGTGATTTGGCTATCGGTGAGCCCAAGGGAGCTGCTATGAGATGTGTCGGCAGTGCAGCGTCCATATGAGATATCCCTAATCCCCAGAGCCGGCTTTCATGCACATATGCACCACCACCTCCATCCCTTATCCTTATTGCAACCAGCTGTGGTCTGACTTTGTCGAAGATCTGCTAGAGCTCCTTTACCCCCTCTCCCACTCCTCCACACACTCCCATTAGTCATACTTGGGCAGCGCATGAAATAAGGTGGTGATAAAGCTCTGATCCGAGACACCAGAGTCGTTCTGGGGGCTCCGTGCCGGGCTGTGAAGACTCCGCTCTGTTAACCCCTTGGTGCCTCCGGGCAGAATTTCCTCGTGCCCATAAGCCGTGTATCTTCTCAGGATTGATGGACCGCTTAGGGCACCTCTTGTCTAAGCAGAGATGGATTTATTACTGTGGTGTGTTAGAGATTAAATAGGCTTTTTTGGCTTTTTAGTTAGTCAGTGGGCTGAGGAAGAGAGCTCTCGTGTTAAGGCACTGGCTATTTGTGAAAACTTGGGTTTTCTCTGTATCCCATTGGTAACGCAGAGAGAATGTTATTTTTCTCCTTGTTGTTCATACTACTTAAGCTAAAGATTAACTTTGGCAGAGTGACAAGGGGCTACGTACTGTCCAAGAAACAATTCTGTCTGGAAATTAGTGGAAGGTTTCTGACCACTGGGGAGGAGGAGCTCCTGGAACAGAAATTGGAGTATTATTTTTTTTCTTTAAAACGGGACAGTTTATCGGCTGGTTAAATGTGGGTTGCCTTTCCCCAGGGTGGTGAAAAGCACATCCTTGATCTGATGCCAGCCACCAGGCAAATTTCAGAGCTTTTACTCATAGCAGAGATTTCTCTAATGGGCAGGACGCTGGTGTCTGCGCAGGCGACGGCCACCAGCCACCGCTGATCAAAGCTGCATACTGCCGATGGGTCAGCAGAGAACCGTGCAGCGCATCCTTCCCTGTGCAGGCTACCACCGTACTTCCAGGGGCAAACACAACCTTTTGGAAAAGCACAAACATTTTCCCTGCCGTTCTGCGATCTGTCACGTAGCTGCCTTTGCAGAAGGGAGGGAGGGAGGGTGGGCAGAGCTTTGGGTTTTGGTAATTCTCTCGGCTTTCTAGTCTGTGCACATCTCGGACAGCGGAGACGCCGTTACGGACTCAGGTGGCTGAAGCTCCTGGGTCGTTCAGGAGGACAGCACTGCTTTTTCAGCCCGTCGAGAGCTCCTGGTGTAAATCCAGTTCTTAAGGCAGTGCAAAAACAGTAAATGGAGGCTGGCGTGTCTGCGTGGGGGTGAAGCAAAGCTTTGTAGGACTTTGTCTCTTTGTCTCTTAGCCCGGTTGTGATTTAGAGCTAACTGCGGAGCTGATGGCAGCCCAGATACTCACCAGTAAAGTTAAAAATAAATTGCTTGAAGTTCTCTGCTGATAATTGAAGCAACTTTTTTTTTTTTTTGTCTTTTTTTGTGTATGTGATTTGTTGTAAAATCAAGCCAGGGCTCTCTCCTCCCCCCTAACGGTGCCTGCCCAGTTTGTGACCCCTGAAGTCCCACCGGCTTTTCCTGCTCTCTCAGCACCGGTGCAGTTTCTGAGATGCTGGCTTGCTTTTTCTATTTCACTGTGTCCAGTGAAGATCTTGGACATCCCATGAATGCTATTCACATCACCAGAAGGAACACTTAAACCTTCAGATCCAAATCTCTTTTGTTACCCTTTGAGGCCGCTGTGTGTCTGTGGTGTGGGTGGAGTGTCCTGTAGCTGCCGGAGAACCCAGTTGCGGCTGGACCTGATGTGTTGGGCCAGAAGGAGGATCCAGCTGAGCAGATGCCAGAGGCAAGCAGGACCATCTCGCTGTCAGGAGGTGTCTCTCCAGCCATGACAGACTGGTGGTCCTGCTTCTTCCAGTCCTCACTTGAAAGCCATCTCTGGAAGGTGCTCTGATTTGGGATTCGCGGCACAAAGCAACGCTGATCCGTGTGTGGAGTCCTTGGTTGTCACCACGTGCTGCCAGCAGTAATATGTCTTTGTGCTCTTTGGGTGCCTTTTCTAGCATGTCCCGAGGCACAAAGTCACTGCTCGAACATGAGGGGCCGAGTACTGAAAGCTGCTGACCGATGCTTACAGGGGATCTTGCCTGTGTCATTGTTTATTTGTCACCAAACGGGAGCGGTGTTCGTAGAGCGCTCTGGAGTGGTTTGTGTTTGCTGCCCTAGGAATTTCAAAATTACAAAAAAAACCCTACTACAGCAGACTGTAGTAATTGAGTTGTTTCCTTCAGCTTTGGCTCTGTAATCAGCTTCCTGGCTGCATTCTCGGATGCTTTAGAAACCAGGTCTTTCAAATACTTTAAGGGGAAGGGGATGTCTTGTTTTTGCAGCAGGCTCTGCAAAGCGTGCTTTCTCTCTTGGACATCCAGGCAAGCTATTGCACCAGCTGTTTACCGATGCTTTTGTTGTCTTTCCCAGTCGATCATGTGGTTCCTGAGCCCGGGACCAGTTTGCTGACAGCCTTCGACCAGTGGCGAGAATGGGCAGACAGCAAATCCTGCTGTGACTACTCTCTGCACGTGGATATCACCGAGTGGCATAAAGGTGTCCAGGAGGAGATGGAAGCTCTGGTTAAAGATCATGGTAAGTTCAGTTGCTGAAAGCTTGGAGAAACCTTTCCCCTCTTTATTTTTTAGGACTGGCTTCCCTGGTTTTTAGGACTGGCTCTTGTGAAATAGTATACTCTTACATCTCAGTGAAGCTGTTCTGGGCCCTGACGTTAACTTGGTCCATTCTGGCTTCTTCTGGAGGTTGGGACGGTCACTGTTGTAGAGGGGCATTGAGTTTGGAGAGGTGAATCTCTTGCTGCTGCCATGCAGAGGAGCACCTTCGCTCAGTAGAGGTCCTTTAATTTTCATTAGTGTGGGTAGGTGATAGGTTTGGCCATTAAACTGTTGTAAACAAGGGACAAATTGGGCCCAGAAGGAACAATCTAGCACTGCTTGCTAAAAGTGGAGAAGAGCTGAATAAAATGACCTCATAGGTTTTTCCCCTCTTCAATTTCTGTGACGTTTCATCCTTCGGCTAGAGTAATTTTCCATCCTGTTTGTCGTTTAAAAAACCCAACCTTTTACATCCTAATGAGTGCTTTCCCACGTGTGCCGGGAGTAAGCGCTTTTCCTGGTTCGGAAGGCAGGAGAGGGAAAGCCGATGTAGGAGTGCTCCGTGTCTCGGTCAGTACGAACGCGGTGGAGGAGGCCATGCTTGCGGATGCAGGTTTCCCATGGCTCTCGCTGGAGGCAGCACGGGATCGGGCAGCCAGGCCTGGTCTCTGCTTTTGCGTGCGATGCATTTTACTTATTTTCTTACTCAACCTCCTGCAGTGCTGAATCCACAGAATTATTCTTATTTCAATGTTAAGTGGAAGCCTAAGGGTTTAGCTGTCCCCACGGCTGGAGCGCGGGCTCCTCCGTTCTCATCAGTTGTGTTAATAGATGCCACATGGCTGTGGAGACGCTGCCTTTACGCTGTGATCGCTCGAGAGTGCGTGTGCCTGTGTGCATGCACATGTCTGTACACGTTTTGCATCAGATTAAAGTAATTTATTTGTCTACCCATTGTTACTGCTTGGGGGGAGGGGGAACGGATTGAGGGGGACATATCTCTCTACGAACGGTGTGTTTCCTCGCTTTGTCTGTGCCGGCAATTTGCACGTCAAAGGTAATTCCTTTCCTCTCTTTCTACCAGGCGTGAACTCTTTCTTGGTTTACATGGCTTTCAAAGATCGCTTTCAGCTAACTGACTCTCAGGTAAGAATCACAGGATGGTGAGGGTTGGAAGGGCCCTCTGGAGCTCCCCCATCCCACCCCCCGCCAGAGCAGGGGCACCTCCAGCAGTGGCACAGGACGGCGTCCAGGCGGGTTTGGGATGGCTCCAGAGGGGGAGACTCCCCCACCTCTCTGGGCAGCCTCTGCCCCTGCTCTGCCGACCTCAAGGCAGGGAAGGGCTTTGGGATGGCTCCAGAGGGGGAGACTCCCCCCCCTCTCGGGGCAGCCTGTGCCACTGCTCTGCCGCCCTCACAGCAGAGAAGGCCCTCCTCAGGTGGAGATGGAACTGCCCATGGTCACCTTTGTGCCCGTTCCCTCTTCTCCTGTCACTGGGCACCGCTGGAAACAGACTGTTCCCACCCCCCGGCACCTCCCTTGAAGGAGTGATCAGCGTTGATAAGATCCCCCTCAGTCTTCTCTTCTCCAGACTGAACAGCCCCACGTCCCTCAGCCTCTCCTCATCACAGAGATGCTCCAGTCCCCTCAGCATCTTTGTAGCCCTCTGCTGGACCCTCTCCAGCAGTTCCCAGTCCTTCTTGAAGGCCTGATGTTCACCTGCTTCTGTCACTGCAAGCTATGCATTAGTCTCTTATAACGGTTTAATTTCAATACACTTGGATCTGATATTCTCTTTTGGTTACAGTCTTTGTATGTGTAACAGTACCTTAGATTTGCAACACTACCCAGAGCTCTGGTTTGAAGATGTTTTTTTTTTTTTTAAATAAAAAAAAACCAAAACCCACAACCAACAACAAACCCTGAAAGGTTTGGCTGGGGAAAGCAGTGGCAAAACCCTCATTTCGAGACATCTAAGGTTCTGTGGCAGCTGCTTTGGTGTGGAAGCAGTGGCAGTTTTATAAATTGCTGCTTTGTGCCTGGGCGCAGGGCAGGGCAGTGGGAGCTTTGGCATAACTATTCCGTCTGTTCAGAAGCTGAAACCGATCCTGGTCCAGAAGTGGGTTTCTGGCTTTCGCGTTAGAATCGCTGGGAGATAAAACGGAATTGTCCTCCTGTTTGCTGTTCTAGTGGGTACGTTTGGGTACGTTTAATTGTTGAGATGGGCAGTTTATATTTCTAAATGTGGTGGGAAGAGAGGAATGCCTGGGAGTCATCTGGAACAGTGTGGGAGGCAGTGGTGTATGACGGTTATCTCTAATGACTCTGGTAAGCGTTTTAATGAGTGACCAGTGACGGAGCCGGCGTCAATTGTGGGTTACTCAACCTGAGCCTTCTCAAACTGGTTGTTGGAGTGGGAAATCACACTGTTCCTGTCCGAGGCAGCGAGAGGGCTGGGTGCAGGTTCTCTGTGAAAGACAAATGTGAGGTTTTTTTTTCATGCCAGGCACCAGTAAATGAAGGCATGAAACAGGTACTGTGAGCTCCTTAAAATCACTCCAGATGTAGGGCTGTGCAGTTGCTGTTTCTTTCTCCAGCGTGGTAAATACACCCAAACCTGGCTTTTGAATAGTGCTTCTTTGCCACATCAGTAGCATCTGACCGTACAAATTGGGAAATTTACTTGTAGGCAGGAAAAAGATCATATCTATCCAGCAAACCACATCTTATATTTCTTAATGCTTCTCTTCCTCTTTTCCATTCTGCAAAATTCTATATACTGAGCGAGTCTGGAGTGTATACTGTATAACAGATGTGTACCTGAGTGTACATTCGGTGTGTATTGTACTGTATGTTTTCTGTCTTCCAGATATATGAGGTCCTGAGTGTAATCCGGGATATCGGTGCGACAGCTCAAGTGCATGCTGAGAATGGTGACATCATTGCTGAGGTATGTTGTGTTTATTCTGTGGGTTGTTAACTTCAAAACACTGGGAGGGATTTAAATTCTGAATCCTTCTTTGCAAACAGAAAGTCACCAAGACTTTTCAAAGCGTGGCATAGCAGTGTCAAGGATGCCAGGAGAGCTGTGCATCAAATCTCGTCCCCTTCATTGTCGCTGATAGAGCAGGTTTTCATGGAAGCTTTCGGTTTGTGGTGGATATCGGCCATCTCTGCCTTTCTCCCCATAAGTGAAAGACTGTGTCTGGGTGTGACTGTCACTGTGTACAATAAGATGTTCTGCCGTAACTCAGACCAGGGGAGTGGGAAGGGATATAGCTCTGTACAGTACCTGGGATGCTGATGTTTGGGATCTGTTCATCCTTGAAACAGCAACAAAGAGGAACAGTTAATAATGTATTTGGATTTAATCTGATCTCTGGCTCATTTTATACATTATGTCTCAAGCATGCAGACCTTGGTGTTGCAGAGGATTTCTGCATTGTCTGACTGGGGAAGAGCCCACCTGAGTCTCTGAGCCCAGCCAGCTGCAGTTGCAGGATGATTTTGTCATGAGATACTGTTTTGCCACATCTTGGAGACTATTTTATAGACGCAAATGAGTAGTGAAAGTTGAGGGGCAATGAACCCAGTGTGAAGCGAATCAAAAATAAAAGGTTTCCCTGAGCTCCTGTGAACAAATCAGCAAGGGTTTTGCGAGCTCTGGTTATTCTCAGCAAGGGAAGTTGGACAGGACTCTGGTTGTAAGGCCCTTATGTAAAGCCCCATGTGATTATTAGTTAGCACAGATGCCTGGGATCTCACTTCACCTCTTTTAAACAGCTGTGTTTGCTGCAAGGGAAAAATACGTGGGGCTTTAACTCTTTTTTTCTCTCTGCTTTAGGAGCAGCAAAGGATTCTGGACCTGGGGATCACAGGCCCTGAAGGACATGTGTTGAGCAGACCTGAAGAGGTGAGGACTTCACCACCTTTGCATTTACTCCCAAGCTTATAACTTTTCTGCATTGCCGTCAAGTACTTCAAATTGGGATCGATGTGTCCAGAAACACAATTTCATGCTGGCTGTAAATGTTATGGCTGCATGGGGTAAGGGAAGAGGCTAAGACACTTCTAGGGACTAACTAGTAACTAGTCCCTTCTAGAGACTAACTGCTGTGGGTACTTACGAGGAATTGAGGAGCCTTCTCCTGTGCTGGAGAAGGGAACATCTCCAGGGAGTAATTCATCCAGCCTAAGATTTGATTCACCCTCAGGAAAAGCTCATCTCTTTCTGTTGATTATTGGAGATGATCTGTAAAGGCTCTGCTCGCACATGAGCTGTCTAAAGTGAGGTGAGATGTGATAGAACCAATGCCCGTGATGAGCACTGAAGACACAGGGAGCTGTTGGTACTTAGCACACCTCCAGTTCAGCCCTTTGATAGCCCAAACTGGAATCCTGCATTAGGAGATGTAGAAAATGTTGAACCTGAAGCACAGGTAGTGCACAGTCTACTTGAGTCACCAAGTCCTTGTTTCAGCTTCTGCACAGGAACACTTTACGATGGAGTCCCTGAGGAATTGCATGTTCTGATGGTGTTGGTCTTTATGGAGCTGGACCCTGGAGTTCTTGTAGTTCCCCGGTCAAGTTTTCCTTGAGTAAAGAGTTCAGAGTTTGGGTTTATGTAGGCAGGATTCTGCCACTGACTTTTCTAGATCCCTTTTCTTGCACTTCTCTCTCAGTCCTTGATTTATCAAGACTTCCTCTGAATGAGCAGAAATTTTTGATATATACCCAAATCCTGACATTCTGTCTTAGGCACTTGCATAGCTTCCGTTACCAAAATATTTGATGAACGTTTTACTGGTGGTGGATTTTTTACCCCAAGGGATAAAGTGGTGTGCTGAAGGCACAGAAAGTATGTACCAGAGAGAGGAGCTAATTCTTAGATCCTAGCCCAGCACTTTAATATTGTTAACCTTCATACTTCCCTGTTGATTTCTCCAGGGCCAAGCACCCCAGTCCCTCTCACTCCCTCTAAATAAATCTCAAGAGTAAGAAAGAACCTTAAAGCATTGCTTTTCAGGTTGCATTCTTCCTTCCAGTCTTTCAGTATCTCAAAGCTAGACATCTCGCCATGGCATTCTGGGTTTGTGAAGTCCATCCGTTACGTATGCGTGCTTCTTTCTGTTCCTCCAAGATTTTGGGGCTTTGCTGACTGCCAGATGTGGCAGCTGGAAGCTGGGTGTGTGAGATCATCCACACGTGCCCCTCATGCTCCCTCTCTATTTCCTCCCCTTGGTTCAGACAAGCAGCATCCAGAGACATGTCAGTAGGAATATAAATCATTCAGTTGCTTCATGCAGAAGGGGAAGAAAAAAATGCTTGACTTGGGCAGTATGTGAACGCTCACAGAATTTGTGTTTGGCTCCGGGAGCTGGGATTTTTTGCTTCCTGCAAGTTGTGAGCAAACACTTGCACTGAGCCTTCCACCCACCCACCCCTGCATTTTCTTTACTTTTTTTTACATATTTTTTGGCTTGAATCAGGAGAGCGGGAACAGATGCTGACGTGACACTTGGGGCTCATCTGTGGAGCACCCCCTAAGCTTCTGTTGACTTCAAAGGAAGGCTGCTCCTGACCTTAAAGGATCTGGTCGTCAAACTAGCCAAGTTTTGTCTGGCTGCTTCAAAGCTCATCCTTAGTGGAGCGGGAGCAGCAGGAGCTTTAAAGTGTGAACTGTGTGGCTCCCTGGCTTGGTTGGGTTGTTCCATCTGTCTCCTGCACTTTGCAGAAATGTGTTCTTTCTCAGGATAGCAAGGAGGGCTGCCTGAGGACACGTGGCTACCTCAAGTGAGGGTCAGTAAAGCCTCTTCCCAGTGTCACTGGGCAGCCTCTGTGCAGCTGGAATCAGCTGTGCTGGCGGCCCAGAGTGGAAACACTCGGGCCAAAATTCTCCTCCGTGAAAGTCATAGGAAACAGAGCAGGAAACGATGTCATCTGGTTACCTCCCCTCCTTTTCTCCAACGCGGGAGTAACTTCGTGTTTTTAAAAACATACAACTCCCTTTAAGGTGGCTGATGACAAAGGCCTGATTCCGAGGGTGGCAGCAGATCCGTAATTCCTGTTGACTTCAGTAGGAGCGGATGTTTCTTCGTATCCCTCTGGGGCGCTGTTAATGCTAGAATTGGCTTTTCACGCTGTCCCGTACGGAGTGAGCCTGCCCTAACTTGATGATCTTCAAGGTTCCTTCCAACCTAAAGCATTCTGTGATTCTAAGGACTTCATGTTGGTTGTCATCTTCCCGAAGAGCTGCTTAATTCAGACCTCCGTCTACAGCAAACTAGCAGGAGTTGTTGAACAAGTCTGAAATATTTATTAAATCAAAACTCCCACTCAGTTCAGTGAGACTTATGTCAGAGTGAAGCATTCAGGTTCTGGCCACGTGTATTTGTGTCTTACTTGGAGCATACCCATCTGAATTCCCAAGTTGAGTAGAAGGCATGAATTAAGGCTTAAGTTTCACTGCTGACTCATGGGTTTAGCTCTCTCACCTCAGTAACCTGAGTTGGGCCAAGGTGACGGTACTCAGCATGTTGTTCCAGCCGGCAAAAGGAGCCTTAGCGAAGACATCACCATCCCAAGTCAGCATCGCCCATCACTTTCTGGAAAACTCTCCCCCTCATAGCTCAGATCATTCTGTGATGACTTTTTGGAGCGATCCATCATTTTTTGTTTTGATTTTAGCCACAAAAACGCTGAAAGCGCAAGCAGTCCAAGCGCTCCAGGAAATGTCTGTCTTTTTTTTTTTTTTTTTTTTTTCCAAGAGAAGTGCTGTGCTAGGGCTTCTAATGCATACTGGTAATTGCAAACATTCCCCTTTGGGCTAGTCGTTGGGTTATTGTTATGTGCCTGTCACCATAGCATCTGGGCACAAGGCATGAATTCAGCAGCCTTGTTCTCTTCTGTGCAGAAGACATTTTCCTCCTGTTCAGCAGTCGGTCAAGAGTCCAGAGATGCGTGCTGTTTCATCCCTGCTTTGCAAGTGGGGAAACTAAGGCATAGTATGGAAATGTGACGTCCAGTGCCACAGGGACAGAGCTGCGCGCAGGCAGTTTGCGAACTGATGCCATTGCCTGGAAGCATTGGCCCATCCGAGCTCTCTCCTTGCCTCTCAGGAGGGACAAGTATGCTTTTCTTGGCTCTCCCGTTCAGTCTCTTGTCTTCCCTGCGAGTGCTGCTGGCTGTGGCATACTCCAGTCAAACGTCCTGAAATGAAAGGCTGAGGGCGCTGGGACTCTTTAGCCTGGAGCAGAGAAGGCTGAGGGGAGACCTTATGATGGCACACAAGTATCTAAAGGGGGGGTTGGAGGAGGATGGAGCCAGACTCTTCTCGGTGGTCCCCAGTGACAGGACGAGGGGCAATGGGCACAAGTTGGAACAGAGGAAGTTCCGTTCCAACACACAGAAAAACTTCTTTACGGTTCAGGTGACAGAGCAGTGGCACAGGCTGCCCGGGAGGAGGGGGAGTCCCTTCTCTGGAGGTTTTCAAGACCCGATGGATGCAGTCCTGAGCGATGTGCTCTGGGCAGTCCTGCTTTAGCAGGGGAGTTGGAGGAGATGATCTCTAGAGGTCCCTTCCAACTCTGAAGATTCTGTGATTCTGTCCTGGAATAGACACCCTTCCTTGCAGCCTTTCCTGTTTGCATGGGGCAGCTGGGCCAGGAAATGTCCCCTTCTGTCCATCACCCTGCCTGGGGAGGGTTGGTGACGAGCCCTGGCACAGTGACAGGTTAGGGCTTTAGCCTTTTTGGCACCAGAGGCCAAGCTGCTGGTGCTGGGGCAATGGCTTTTCTTTTGAAAACTCCCAGCTGTCGTCGTGTGGTTTTTCTTGAGCAGTCCAGCTGCAGGCGGAGCAGCGTTAGGGGTGGTGGCCTGTCAGTGCGAGCAGAGCTGCTCCGGGCACTCGGACATCCGTGTGGTGAATACACCGTTCCCTAAGCCGATGGGTCCTTATTTTCTGATGCTTCTTCCAGTGGATGAAGCACGGTGCTAGGAGCCAGCAGTTGATGCGTTCTGATTGTGGGACTGATGACAGTTTACACTGTAGAGAAGGTTTTCAGTAGTGCTGAGTATGGTTGGACTAATTAAGGAAGGGTGCCGGGGGGTGGGAACAGTCTGTTTCCAGCGGTGCCCAGTGACAGGAGAAGAGGGAACGGGCACAAAGGTGACCATGGGCAGTTCCATCTCCACCTGAGGAGGGCCTTCTCTGCTGTGAGGGCGGCAGAGCAGTGGCACAGGCTGCCCAGAGAGGTGGGGGAGTCTCCCCCTCTGGAGCCATCCCAAACCCGCCTGGACGCCGTCCTGTGCCACTGCTGGAGGTGCCCCTGCTCTGGCGGGGGGTGGGATGGGGGAGCTCCAGAGGGACCTTCTGACCCCCACCAGTCTGGGATTCTGTAATGGTTGGACCGTTAGTTGGACTTGATCATCTTAAAGGTCCCTTCCAACCTAGATGATTCTATGAATCTCTTCTATCTACTAGTCCCACTGGAGTCCATGGGAAGTGCTGGTGCCCTCTTGCATTTGGGAATCAGGTGGCTGACTGCTCTGGGTTTCAGTTTCCTCTGTTCATGCGCTTGGAAAATGTCTGTGGTATTGCAGGCTCAGTTCTCCGTGGTAGTAGGCAGCACGAGCATTATCCTGTTGTTAAATCTGTCATCTGGACCTCTTTGATTAGGATGTGTGATGTGTAAGAGCCTGCAGAGTGATTATGTTCATTCTAAGGCTGTAGTTATAGAGTGACCCTCAGTCTTGCTGAGGTTATCTCTCTACACACGCAAGAAAAAGTAGTTGATTTATGGGGTGGTTCACACTCTGTCAGATCCTGAGCCAGATATTGTAGTGGAGGGTGCAATTTCAGAGGCTTGTTTGCAAACGTGGCTTACCAGAGTATGTGGCTGCAGCATCTCTCTTCCGTGTGGGCTGGAACATGAATAGTTTTGTTGAGTCAACACTTAGTTGCTTATTTTTGTCTAGGTTAAAGAAGGGGCTTAATCATTCTGACCTTGAGCACCTGGAGTGTCATTTTAGGGCTTAGTCTGCTTGCAGAGAAACTTCGAAGCAGCCTGGGAGAAAAGCTGGTAATGAGAGCGGACTACAGCTTGATCTCATTTTAATTATTGTGGTTACGCTGTACCTCTTTCTGGCTCAGAATCGGAGAGGTGGAAAGTCTGTCATCTCGGCCCTCCACACCCAGTTTTCCCGTGAAGGCAGAGGCTGTGGCTCGCTGAAGGTGAAGGGGATATGCTGACATGGGGGATGCTGCTAACCTGCTGCTGACTTTGGTTCCCAGGTGGAGGCGGAGGCTGTGAACCGGGCAATAACCATCGCCAACCAAACCAACTGCCCCCTTTATATCACCAAGGTGATGAGCAAAAGTGCCGCTGATGTCATTGCTCAAGCCAGGAAAAAGGGTAAGTTATTTCCCTTGGACAGAGGCACCTTCTTAGCTCATGCAGTTCAACTCCTTGCCAACAGAAACTTCATCCCTACAGGAGAGGTTTCTTTTTCCAGTGTTATTGTCCAGGCTCTTTTTTAAAAGGTCCCGAGGAACTGCTGCTGTCTCATCTCCCACAGACAAGTATTCAGTGGTTGTATCAGCGCCAGGAGCAGTTTCTTCTGTTCAGCCTAGAGCCCCTTTCTCTCCACCTTCATCCTGCCACATTGATCCATGTGCCTTCATGTTATTGCGTTCCTGCCATCTCCATTTAATGAATCCCCCTGGAGATGGCAAGCTGTGTCCTCCTTCCGGCTGCCGTGGTCTTTCCTTGGTGCTTTCTGCTGAGATGCTTCCTGGGGTCAGAAGTGATTCCAAGAGTCCTGATGGAGGTCTCCGACTCACAAGCCCTGTTGGATTTAGTTGGAGTAGCCAAAGAAGTTACCAGTTCCACCTATCCACTCTGCTCCTTGCTGTGGGATTGATACTCCTCATGGGCTGTAACTCACAGCCTGGCATCCAAACAGGATTTGGGATCAGTGGTCTGGGATAGGCTGAGAATTGCAGTCACCTCTGATAACTCTGCCTGAGGATGCTGCAAGAAGCACGGCTCAGACCTGCCGTGGATGTTGCTGCCTTGTGTCTCCTCTCTCTAACCGAGGTCTGTGAGGGAGCTGAGCTGCTCTTGAGTGATGCTGTACCTTATTCTGAGTCCTGACCCTGCTGTCTTGCCCTCAAGGAGCAAGGGTTACAAAGCACAGCGAGTGCCTGTCTCCCTGATTTATTCTGTGACTAAACCCTTCATGTCTATTTAAAGTGGCTCTGGGTGGGTGAGTAAGCACGAGGGATGATTTTCCCCCTCTTTCCTCCAAAGGGTTGGATTTAATTTTATGCAGTCTAAATAAGCCTGAATGGATATACAAATGACATCACTTTCCATCTGGGTGTTTGGTGCGAGAAGAGCTAATTTCCTACCGCGGCAAACAGATCTGTGTTTGTGTATTGGCTCAGAAGTATTTTGGTCCCATGATTCCTGTTAAATTAGTTCAGAGTTGGTGAGGAGGACTGATTTCCCGAGGCATCTCTTTCTGTTCGTGGCGTGGAAGCAGCACAAGCTGTTTGGGATAAACCTTCCTGTCCTAGCTCCGTTAGTGGAGATCGTGCTGACATGAGAAGATGTGTTGACATGCAACAGTGGCTGCATGTTGCATTACCCCAGAAAACAACTCGATGTCGTCATGCAACTCAATCCTGTAAGCCAGGGAAGCATCCCTTCCTTTTTTCTAGGTGAGCTACTGGAGATGTGTACATCACAGCGGTGGAGCATCAACAAAAACAGCGTCTTGCTACGCTCGCTGTCCCCAGTGGCCTCTCGCTGGCAGGTGGAGAGGGGCACTGGGATGAGGGACCATACGCTTATCCTGCAGAAGCCATAATACACAACCTGACTCGTCTGGATGTTACCCTGCCTGTGAAAGGTGCTGGGATTGTCCCAGATGAATGGTCCATGAAACTCACTTTACTGAGCCTCCTGGGTGAACTGGGATACAGTTTTCATTCAGATTGCGTTTTCTCCTTATAAGGAGAATCTGGGGTATAAATGGCACGCCATTCTCTGTTCCTTTATTTAAATAATTCAGTTTAAATGCTGTGCAGTTACCCAACTGGGTAACCCAGGAGGGCCACACACGCTAGCCTTGCCTTCCCAAGCAACAGGAAACATAACTGAAGACAATTCAAGGCGAAAACAAAACAGAATTGATTTGCTAAATGGAAAAGAACGAATGTTATTTAAAGCCAGATGTTCCCAGTGGCATTTGTATGGAGGAGATTCCCTGCAGACTCAGTCGTTGGCAGATCTGGGAGCTCAAAACATTGCTCCCTGCAGAACAATCCTCCCAATGTATTGGCCCACAACAGGCCTCCCATTAATAGCCAGCGTGTGCTTTGCCTTGTTTTGATTTTGTAACCCTATTTGTGGCAAGTGATGTCAGACGGCCTCTTCCTCTGCTGGTGGATCCCCTCTGACAGTGGCTGTTCCTACACCTCCTGTCTCAGTGTGGTCCTGCAAGCCGCGTGAAGCCCGTTGATGCATCCTTCTAACGCGCTCTTTCCCAGCTAGCTTGAGAGCCTGTACACATCGCAGTAGCTCGGGCAATGTGCTGCAAGAAAAATCGTGTATTTTTACTCAGCATGGCGAGGCGTGTGAGACCCTGCTGACCACCTCAGCGGTTGCCTTTGCCAGTCTTTTTCTCATTGAAGTCTTTAGGGTTCGTATTTTAACTACCCACGTCTGTTGCCGGCAGATGCGGACACCGAAGTGTCTGTGCTCAGAAGCCAGATGGATAGGCGCTTCACAGAGGTTTGGGGAAGGCTGCATTTGGTGAGCAGATCCGCGGGGTTACCAGCCTGCAGCGCTTTTGAAGTTGCAGCATCTTGCATCGGCTTGGCGTGCAGATGTGGCTGCTGCATTCCAGCTTGCAAAGCGTCGCGGCCTTAAGGATCTGCCGTTCCTTCATGTGGTTCCAAAAATGTTAATGAAGAGGAAGGATGCAACGGTGGTTAGTGCACTGGACAGAGAGTCAGAAGATACAACTTAATTTCCTAATTCTGCCACAGATTTACTGTGTAACCTTGGTTTCCCTGAGCTGCGTTTGTGAACCAGAAACCCCGATGCGATGGGCTTTCTCGGTAGGCCGGAAACTTTCCTGACAGGAGTTTTCTCTTATCTGATCTACGCACAGAGCCTGCTGCAATAAACCCAGCCTTGTTAGGTCTTTAATACCTACGCATTTATAAAAATATTGCAGGCACTATTTTTTTTCATTCTTTTTCTTCCACATCCCCTCTGGATCAGACTGGATCTCCTCACGCTCTCACAGTTCCCCTCAGCCTCTTTCATAAGGTTATTGGCCCAGGATATAATACCATGAATCTTTACGGGAACCCTTTCAAGCACAATTAATCAGCAATTACATAAGGGCATTGTGCACATTTTGCTGCTATCAGTAACAGTATCTTTATTATTAACTCAGATATCTAGATGTTTGGATACTTATTTTTGGAGAATGCTCAGTTTCTTTAGAGATCTCAAGATAGGCACATAAAATTAAGAGCTTGCTTGTGAAAACAGGGCCTTAGTAACATCACATAGTTTCCGAGGAGCGTTGAACAGAGCCGGAGTTTAATGATGTCTGGTCATTTGGTTGTGCAGGCTGGTGAATTGAATCCAGTGTTGTGTCTCTGTGATCCCATATTGAAGAGGAAGTACCAAGAAGCCCTGCAGCCTGCAACGCTGGCATAACTTACCCAACTTGTCCCGTTTCAGAAGGGTGCTTTGTGCCTGGAAGCCAGGCTGGAGATGTACGTTGCTTGGTGCTTACAGTGGATTTGCCTGTATTCCTGTCCTGTAGGCACTGTGGTGTATGGAGAGCCCATCACAGCCAGCTTGGGTACCGACGGATCTCATTATTGGAGCAAGAATTGGGCTAAGGCAGCAGCTTTTGTTACTTCCCCACCACTGAGTCCTGACCCAACCACTCCGGATTTTCTCAACTCACTACTGTCCTGGTGAGTAGCGCTCTCTGTGTGCATACAGCGTGTGCTCCATCATGAGACAAGTGGGTGATAAAAACCAGAGCTGTTGTTGCCAGTGAGCAAAAGGCTGTTCTACCTTTAGGAGTAATCCTGTAACAATAAAATATCTTAAATACCTATCATTGTCTTTTCCAGTGGAGACCTCCAAGTTACTGGCAGTGCCCACTGCACCTTCAACACTGCTCAGAAAGCTGTTGGGAAGGACAACTTTACCCTGATCCCTGAAGGAACCAACGGGACTGAAGAGAGGATGTCCATCATCTGGGATAAGGCTGTGGTATGTCACATGTGTCATAGACTTATGCTACAACTAGACATCCCCAGTGGAAGGAGCTGCAGCAGTGCGTTGTTATCTCCCCCCCAGACGTTTGTTACGGTTCTTCCACTTGAGGTTTTTGCCCCTATAGAGATCGTGGGGAACCTGCTGTGCTTTTTGGAGCGGTCCCCACCTGGCTAATGCAGTGACTCCTTTTGTCTTTCTCTAGGTGACTGGCAAGATGGATGAGAACCAGTTTGTTGCCGTGACCAGCACAAATGCAGCTAAAATCTTTAACCTGTACCCGCGGAAGGGCCGCATCGCAGTGGGCTCGGATGCAGACCTGGTTATCTGGGATCCTGACAGCGTCAAGACAATCTCCGCCAAGACCCATAACATAGTAAGGATATTTTCTACCGTGTGAGCTCTGCTGCTCGTTTCCTCCTCTCTTCCTTCAGTGCCAGACTGTGCTGCCAAGAACTAGAGCTCCTGACAACTCAGGGCTTTGTTTTCTCGATGCCCCAAACCCTCTCTGGTCTTACACCCAGTGCAGCTCAGTTGTGTGAGCAGAAGGGAAGATGATTGAGTCCAAATCTGAAATCACATGAATACCCAGAGATTCCCCTCAGAGCAGAGAGATTGTCCGCTCTTTCCGAGCGTTGGATGCTTGGATCTGAGCACACAGAAAGCTCTTTAAATCTGCTGAAGTATCAAAGGGCCTCTTACCACAATGTGTCATTTATGACCTCCTGACTCACTAGCAGTGGGAATGTGAACTGCCCCTTTTCTAGTTGGGGTCGGCGAAGCTTGTCAGCTCACGGACACCTTCGCTGGAGATCTGATCCAGATCAATGAGCTTGAGTGGATTCGCACCACGTACTGATCTGGCGTGTGTGTGTGTGGAGTCATACTTAGACATGATTTTACTGGTGATCATCCCAGTGTTAGTTGGCACAGGGAGGCAGAAGGCAGCACCCAGGCTGACCGGACCTTCCACTTGTTTCTTCTGCAGCTTTGTGGTGGCACCGTTAGAGGCAATGTTTGCTCGTGGCCCACAGCTGTGTCCCGCATCTTATACCTGCTTCCTGCAGTGAAAAGGCTCTCCCACCCGGTGGGAAACTGCAGAGTGGTCCTGGTGCAAAGGGCTGGTTGGAGTCTCCCTGTGACATTCGAGCACTGTCTCAGAGAAAGCAACCACTGTTTGCGTTTGTTGACTACTTGTTTCACTGCTGGCGATGAACCTATGGAATGTTTCCCTGGAAAAAAAACCCTCCTTGTTCTTTTTTCCGTGAATGCTTTCATTCACTCTGGAGCTGAAGGAGCAAAATTTTCTTCCACACTTGGATCCCTGGGCATATTCACAAAGAAACTTTTTTTTAAAGGTTTGGTTCGCTTCCCTGTGACTTAACTCTGTGTCAGAATTGGTCACAGATGGCCTGGATTCATCCTGCCTCTGCTTAGACTTCTAACAGAGGCGTCCAGACTCAGAAGTCTGGTCACTTCATTCGCTTTAGAGGTGCTTCCAGACTCATCACACCTCCAGTCTGGAGAGAGATGACTTAGAGGAGGGAGCCCAGGGGCATACCGCTATTAGGTGCCCAATTTAGTGGTCTGAAGCTGGGTTTGTGCTTAGGAATGGCTGAGAGAGCTGGAAGTAGCTTGCTGGAGAGAGCATTGAAAGTCATTGCCATTTAATGGCTGTGCTCTTTAGGAAATGAACTGGACTCTTTCAGTTCCCTAACACAAAACTCAGAGACTTTTCTCTTTTGTGGATCTGGTCCAGTACAGTCAGGATTGACTCCACGATTTTGCCATAGGTCTGGGCTGGGCTGAAGGAGACCCAGAGCCGCCGTGGGGTGACGGTTAGGAAAAGCTTTGCAGGCTAAGGAGTGCTGATCCCCCTGAAACTCCTGCACCGTGTCAGAGCCTCGGCACTCAATGACCAGCTGGTGCTGAAGGCTGCGGCTCCACGTTCAAACAGGGCGCCAAGACTATGGAGGATGAAGGGCTCTCCTTTTCACGTGGTCTGTTTAGAGCTTGAAGGGCTGTCTACGAAACAAACTCTCCCGCTCTAAGCTCTTCCCTTCTCTTGTTACATCCCCAGCTATACCTGGCATTACGCCTCTTGGGGTTTTTTGTGTCTCACGCTGCATGTGTGCCTTGTGTTAGAGGAGAAATCGATAGGACTGATGCCTTTAGAGGCGAGGCGTCCCGGTTTGGTCAAGTATAAAACAAAAGCCCCTTTGAAAGTCAGGCAGCAACACAAGGAGACGTAGTGATTATGCGGCATCAGATGATTGTTGCTTTTTTAAATGCTAGAGCAACATACGGATATTTTCCAAGCATTCACACTGCTCTTGCCACTGTCTGGCAAGGAAACATTAGGAGCTAGAGAGGGGCTATAGTGTTGTTCTTGGAACCAACCTAGTTCGTAAGCTTCTAACCAAGCCTCCTCCTTTGCCACCACAACTTTTTTTCAGCCTGGACCCGGTTCAGTGTCGCTTTAACCGCTGTTGTAGCTAATTGTAAATCTGCAGTCAAGTCTACCCGTACTTATAACACACTTGAAGAGCAAACTCCGTTATTAACTCGGTAAAAAAGACCTGGATTTGTCTCAGAGATGGTCACTACAGTAACAGTCCCCAAATAACATGGTTGTGGTGCATCTTGTTCCAGGGTACTTCATGGGTGGGACATTTACCAGTGATTCCTTCAAAACTTGTCTTTTTTCTGTGGTGTGATGTTTCAAATCCTGTTAATTGAGGATGAGGAATCCCATTAGAGTAAAACAAGATTGTCCTGGTCCCTGACCCACCAAGGAAAACACTGGTTTGAAATACAGCTTTTCAAAATTGTCGTTATTTTTAGTATGAAACTCAGATAAAGCTTTATTTGGCTCCTAAATCCCCCTCAGTTCAGAAGAAGAAATAGGCGCCTAAATGCATTTAGACAGGTATGCCTTGAGATACTCTCATTTGAAACTGTATTTCCTTTTTGAGTCCTTTTTCAGTTGAAATTTTGCATGAGTAAATCCTTAATAAGTTTAGACTGATAATAAAGACCAGCCTTTCTATTAAACCACACTTAGGTAAATGCTGTTTTCTTCCATCTGTCCTTAGAATTTTGGCAATTAGCATGACTGGCGATGTCTAATTAAAGCACAGCAGGCTTTGCTGGCATGAATATGTTTGCCTCATGCTGTCTTTTTGTTTGTTCTAGTCTCTGGAGTACAATATCTTTGAAGGCATGGAGTGCCGTGGGTCTCCCCTGGTGGTTATCAGCCAGGGGAAGATCGTGCTGGAGGATGGGAATCTCCACGTCACCGAGGGATCTGGCCGGTATATCCCCAGGAAACCGTTCCCTGACTTCGTTTACAAGCGCATCAAAGCAAGGAGCAGGGTGAGCGTAAATGGTTGGATGCACAGTTGTTCCCTCACCGAAAGTCCTGAGTTCAAGTGGGTGGAAAACAGATGCTGTCCCCTGGCTCGCAGGCACGCGCTCCTGCAACAGAAAACGTTCCCTGGACAGGAGCCATATTTATCTCATCCCTCTTTCATTTTTGCTATCCACTTGAGTCATTACAGGAATATGCTTTGGCTTGAGCTTGGATTTTCTGCAAATTTTATTTTTCTGCTCTTTAATTCTCCTCTGTCTTGGGACACCTAGACATGTGTCCAGGAACTGTCCAGTTTGGACATGAGTCAATCTGCCAATAACCCATCCGGCTTCTCTCGTCTCAGAAGTACCAAGAGAGGTTACTGATTGTATTTATATATCAAACACAATTTAGAATCCCAATTCTAACACGACAATTTAGAATTCTAATTTATTGTTATAGATACATTATGCTGCTTTCCCTTCTGTCAGAGATGATCAGATGCTCTTGTCTGGTGACTGGTGAGTCACAGGCACAGCCTACTGACTGTTTAAAAGCTAGATTATTCTATTTTTAAGAGGCTAAAATTGTTGGAAAAGTTGGGTTTTTTTGTAAAATACACCCATTCAGAATAGAAACTGCCTTTTGATATGCCTTTAGTTAGTGAAAACCGACAGAGAAGACGACGCTGCACTCAGCTGCAACTTAACTGCTGGGAATTTAAGGAGTTCATTTCTAGATGAAATCAGATTTCTGAGGAGGAGAGTGTTTTGACAGTTGAAGTGTTGCCCTCTCCTGGACGAAACTAGAGCTGTGTTATTTCTGCTGACCTTAGGTAATCTTCACATTCCTTGCAAATGATCTTTCCTTAATTGTTCTTGTGAAGAAATTGCAAGTTATCAAAATTACAACCTCAAATAATTTAGCACCGCAGAGAGCAGATCGGTGGTTTCTGGTGTGTTCTGGTCTCCCACAGAAATACGTGCCTGACCTATAAATCCAATTGGGCATCATCTCAACTGGAATAATTGCATTTAACCCGCTCTAAAGCTGCCGAGCTGGGGGTGTGAAGCTGGCCTGGCTCCTTGTTGGGCAGAGCTGCCTCTGTCTCGGCGTTGGTTTGCGTTTTGGGGACGAGGAATAGGTTTCATTTGAGAGTCGTTCGGAGCCTTTAATACAACATCAGGTAGGTCGAGATCATGAAAGGGCAGAACTCGGGGTGCGGGGGAGAGGCTGCACCCACCAGCGGTCCACAGCACGCTGCGTTTTACCCGTGCTGCTTCCGAGGATCAGCGCGGAGGAGATTCCGTATGATTGCAGATCCTCTTACTAGAGGCAAATCTTGAAAGGTGTGTCTTTGGCTTAGCCACATCTGGCCAGCTGTTCAGTGCCGTTTTGAAGGCTGTTTTGACCCTGAAGGCTGCCTGCGTCTGTGTCTTGCAGCTGGCCGAGCTGCGGGGTGTGCCGCGAGGCCTCTATGACGGACCCGTCTGCGAAGTGTCGGTGACGCCGAAGACCGTCACACCAGCGTCTTCAGCCAAGACATCTCCTGCCAAACAGCAGGCCCCACCCGTGAGGAACCTGCACCAGTCTGGATTCAGCTTGTCTGGTACTTACTTTCACGGGGCTAAACTGCTTTGAAATGACGGCTTGTTTATACTCCCGTACTCTGAATTAATTCTGCTGAAATTGGAAGGCAATGAGAGAGGCTGTGATGTGTTTTTAGCTTGGAGGTTGTGCCTCCAAGCTAAAGGAGGAGGTTATTCCTCCTTTAGGAAGGAAGAAGAGCAGTATAAGAGCTATCATAAAGTCCTGCTTATTATTATTATGAGCAGGAGCTATTACAAAATCCTGAATATTATTATTATTATTATTATGCGACCCGCTGTGGGTCTGACGTGTGGCAGATTCGATTTCTCAGCGTGCTACTTCAGTGCAGTAAGGGAAAAGTATAAAAAGGCTGGCTAAGGGAAAACCGTTTACCCAACTCTGTCTGTGCAGGGCTGGGTGGCTCAGGTGTTGGGTGCGGAGATATTGATGCACAACAGGTTTCGGGAGAATTAAGGCACTGGGGGCCAGTAAGGGATTTTCCCCCAAGGATTTCGGTGCCCGCCGTCGGAGCCTGGCCTAAGAGGGCTCGGTGGGTTCAGCGCAGCCGTGCTCTCCCCGCTCCCGTGTCCTGCGGCTCCCTCCTCTCCCGCTGGCCCCGGGGGGCACCTGACGTTTCTTCTCTCTCCCGCAGGGGCACAGATCGACGACAACATCCCACGCCGCACGACTCAGCGCATCGTGGCACCGCCCGGCGGACGTGCCAACATCACCAGCTTGGGCTAAGGACCGACCCCTTCTGTGCCCGCCTAGCGGACCGGGGGACGGGGGCACCTGGAGACCCTTTTTGATTCTTTTAGAGCCTGTGACAGTTACTGCGGGCAACCAGTGAGGGGGGGGCTGAAGTAAGGCGCCTCTTTCAGTCCCCTCAGATTCCCTCCTCATCTTCACCAACCCCTCTCACTTCCCCCTCCCCCACCTCCTCAGCTCCTACACATTTAAAGAAATAAACCCTGTTTTGGCACCTCTGACATGCAAAAGTAAATGTAAAGAGGATGTTTGAGATATGTGGCCTCTGTCCCATTCAGCATCTTTCTTTTAATAAAGGAAGGATAAAGTGAATTTCCCGGGAGCTGCCTTTAAGACACACACGAAAAAAGGAATAAATAAATAATAAATGTAAAAAATAGCTTTTTTTTTTTTTTTTAAATGTCAAGCAGAAGAGTAGTTCAAGGGTTTTAAACTGGATATTCTGTAGGGTTCTGTGTTCCAGCAGCATAGCTAGGCAAGCACAGAGGGACACGAATCCCTGACTGTAACCATTCCCCACCATCGCCTTTGAGGTCACTGAATAGCTGTCTGCTGCCAAGGGAGAGAAACAGGACCCAGCACTAGGAATTGACAAAGCGCATCGCACCCAGCCATCGGGTGAGCTAGAATCGTTGGGGACTTCGGTTCTGTCAGTTTGGTTTTTTCATAATTTTTTTTTTCCTTCTGGATTTTGCTGCAAATTAGGTCCTTGAGGAAACTTTTTGGTTTGTTGTTTTGTTTTTTTTTTTTTCAATGTTTGTGTGTGTTGTTTTAATATGTTTGTATCATTGTGTTTACGAAGCCTTATCTGAGAACTGGGGTTCTCCCTGTTCTTCCCGGTCCTTCCCGAACCTCATCCAAGTTACAGACTCCCGCCAGTGTCACTGCCACTGCCACCCTGGTACTTCAGGTGTTCCTAGGTTGCATCATTCCAGCCAACGCTTGCCACTTAGCCGCAATAGGAGGTCGCAGAGCAGGTTCATAAGCTATGATCTTCACTTCAGCGTACTCGGTCTTGAGCTGGTGCAAAGGAAGGAGCTGAGGAGCTCCGACGGAGTCTCTTGAGAAGCTGTTAGCAGTTAGTTTGTCTTCTCTTCCTGGAGGTGGGAATGGATAAGCCATGGGCAAAGAGCAGCGTGTTGTTTGAAAGATTTCTGTAGCAGCCACGGTCCTCCTTCCTGGGCATCGATGAGCGGTTATTTAAAACTTTACGAGAGCTTATCTTTAGCTCTCCTGGAAAGGCCGGTCAGTTGAGTGTGTGCCCGAGCATCTGTGGCAATTCCAGCTCGAGTCCAGATGCCCAGCTGTTGTAACTGGGAGCCTCAGAGCAGCTCGATGGGTCAACAGCAGCTGAGAATCTCTCATAGAGGGTGCGAATTTCACAGTCACTCGTTCCTTCAGGAATCTGACTTTGTGCAAATATTCACGAGAAAGCCCGGTGGTTCCCCACCCTTCCTCAGCCGCCTGCTGCCTCACGTTTGAGAAACCAGAGGCCGCGAGTTGGAATGAATTGAGGAGCCCCAGCTTGTGTGGCTGGCGGCGGGATCTGGGCATTTATCTGTCTTCTGGCATTGAGGGTCTTTTAGCCCTGGTATTGGAGGCTTCTTATTTTCAGGACACGGAGAATAAATCTGCACCATTAGATTCCCACTTAAACTGAGCTGGAGGGTCCCGAGGACTCGGCCTGTCTCTTAGCACAGAGAGCTTTTCTGCCCGCAATTAACTCAGCGTTACCTCCACTGTCCGTATGCCCTGGCACTTGGCTGCATCTTCTGCTTTCTCTTCTGTTTGTACTCTGCCACGTACATCGACCTTGTTTTTCCATATTTGTATTTTCTTAAATGGTGTTTACAGGTTCTTTTAGGGAAAAAACTATATATATGAAGGCTTTTAAGAAACCAAATTTGTTATTGTTGAGTATCAATGCTGGGATTTGCAAAGGATCTGGAAGCTCTGTAGGTACCCAAACCCTCCCAGCATCAGCACCTACTTCCTTTAGGCCCCTTTGAACACAAAAGTTAAGGAAAACATTGCCATTTTCATCCATGCATTTTGGATTTAGGTTTAACTCTCGGGTCTCTTAGTTTTGCATAAAAGAGTTTGCACTTTGTTTGTTAAGTAATCCGTGAACTTAATATATATTGCAGCTATTTTCATTTTTTTTCACCTGTATGTTAAAATCAATTTGAACGAGTTGGGGAGAAAAAAAAAAAAAGAATTGCAGATCCGTTTCAATTCTGCGAAACACTTGCGGCTCTTCAGTATTCACTTAAGTCTTCCTTTTTTTTTCCTTCACTGACTCATGATGACTTTTTAGTTTTAATTTGTTCTTCAAAAGGAAAAAAAAAATCACAAAAAAAGATTTTTGCAGGCTATGTAAGCATGTTTTTTCCTGTGAGAGCTCGTCCGCTTTGTGTCTGTTTAATGAATGTCATATGTAAATGCTTAAAAAAAAAAAGACGATGACTTAATTAATTAATTAACCGCAGTGACTTGAAGCTCTAAAAATAAAAAAAAAAAAAGTAGGATTTAATACTAGCTGGATTTAACCCTTGGATTTGTGATTGTGAACCATGAGTGGAGGAGCTGTAAGTGCTAAAGCTGATCATGTGTGTAGACAAAAAGAAGTACTGATATTTGACCATTGTCTCAATGGCAAAAAAAAAAACACCCACCCCAACCCCAAGTCTTGTGTTTTATTCCTTAAGAACTCTGTGTTATATTACCATGGGAACTCCTAATAAAGACAAAATGTTGTTGTTTCACTAGGTGCATCTGTGTCTCAAGGCGATAACGTGTTCTGTGTGACGGTGTACCTTCAGCACAGTAAAAAACTGACTGGGCCCCGAAATCAGGGCTAATGTGGGCCGATGGGAGTCCTGCGTAGGAGCGAGATGTACAGTAGCAGAGCTGAAGATAAGGTCCCGTGGTTCCTGGGAAGATGGTGATGGTAAAGAGGAACCAGTGGTCCAGAGCGTAATCTCCTTTAGGGAAAAGTGAGGCTCTTCTCAGGGCAGTTGTCTGTTTAAAGCAGTATTTGGCAAAGCAGAAACGTTTGCCAGAAAAGTGGCTCTGCATTGCAGAGATCACTGCCCAAATGCGAGCGAGGAGCAGCTAAAGCTATTGGCGTCGCCCTCAGCCCTCCAATGTGTTTCTACTTGGACCCTCCTAACAGCGGTGGAGGAGGGGAGAGAAAGTACAGCCGTAAATAGATGCCACACACAGATAACTGAATGGGGAGTGTTAGAGGCGGCTGGAAAAGTGCCAGCGGCGCTTTTGGTGGTGGTGGTGGTGGTTGTTGGGTTTTACTGTCACAGAGATGCTGTGAGTGGGATCGCGCCAGATCGTGGGAAGAGCTGAGAAAGTGCCGGCGTCGCTGCCAGCTGCTCCGACCCGTGGCTGCTGCATCCCTGCATCCCCCAGAATGACCCTCTCGCTGGTCTGCCCCCAAATCCGAGCACAGCTGGAGTTTGCAGCTGGCTTTGCAATGATGTTTAGCTCTTGTTCCTCATCTGAACAAAACCAAATGGTGAAGCAGTCTGTGAAATGCAATTAGCTCTCCACACAGCGATAAACCTAGCACCCCTATCCAGGGGGGAGTTTCAAGAGGGTTTCCTTCTCATCTGTTGAGAAGGGCAATGGTCATCCACTAGTAGAAAGGTTTCTGGTTAATGTGGGGATCCCGGCTCTGTCACCAACATGCAGTTATTGGCTACTGGCAGCTTAAATTAGATATTAGCATATATGCAATCAAATCCCCTAGAAGAGGGTTGGTGGGTAGCTGTGTATAAGATTTATCGGCTTGTCCCAATGATAATATCCCAGTGGAGGATACACTCAGCCTGAAGCACTGGTGTTTGGTTAACACACATCTGCAGAGCCTCCCTCTGTTTTTATTCTATCATTATTTCTTCCTCCAGTGCCTAAATTGGAAAGAAAGAAACCTCTTCCCCAGGAAATCAGTTCCAGGGATGCAGTGAACCTGGTCCATGTTGGAACAGGCTAAAAGATACCAACTGAAGTGTACAGAAGTTTTTGAGGTCAGAGAGAAGTCATCCACAGCCAGATCTAAACCTGACGCGCAAGAGGAACGGAGCCAGGGAGAAATCTGAGGAAGACATGCAGGTCACTGGTGCAGCGCTGCGTTGCTGCTCCAGAAGAGCACAAGAATAGCCGTATTTTGTCAACCCGTTAATCCAGGTAATTCCTTACGCTGGCAGCAATGAGGCCCCGCTCACGGCTCGTTACGCGTGTGCTGATTTGATTCTGGCCTCCCATTGACTGGTCTGCGGGCACACATGTAAGACCCAATTATAGATTTAATCTGATCTTAACATTGATACAGAATTAGTGGCTGAAAGGAGGAGAAAGAAAGTAGAGGATGAATTTGACTCAGTGATCTGGAACGTGAGCTGTCAGCTCGTGAGGAAAGGTGGATTATCAGAGCTGAGGACAATGTGGCTTGATTTATTCCTTAGTGTTGGGAGCAGTAAGTGTCACTGGCCCTCAGTTCTCAACTGTCCTGCTTCAGCGCGGGCTGAGACCGAGCACAGAATTTTCAAACCCAAGGCTTCTGTGACCCAGGACTGACTTATATCATAGAATCACAGAATGGTCTGGGTTGGAAGGGACCTTGAAGATCATCCAGTTCCCCCCCCTGCCCCGGGCAGGGCCACCTCCCCCCAGCCCAGGTTGCTCCAAGCCCCGTCCAACCTGGCCTTGAACACCTCCAGGGATGGGGCAGCCACAGCTTCTCGGGGCAACCTGCCCCAGGGGATCACCACCCGCACAGAAAAAATTCTTTCCTGGTATCTCATCTCAATCTCCCCTCTTTTAGTGTAATACCATTCCCCCTCGTCCCATCGCTCCCCTCCCCGATCCAGAGTCCCTCCCCAGCTCTCCTGGAGCCCCTTTAGGCACTGGAAGGGGCTCTGAGGTCTCCCCTTTTTGGCCTTCTCTTCTCCAGGCTGAACCCCCCCACCTCTCCCAGCCTGTCCTCCCAGCAGAGGGGCTCCAGCCCTCCCAGCATCTCCGGGGCCTCCTCTGGACCCCCTCCAACAGGTCTATGTCTTTCCTATGTTGGGGGCTGCAGAGCTGGAGACACTACTCCCGGTGGGGTCTCACCAGAGCAGAGTAGAGGGGAAGAATCACCTCCCTCTACATACGTAGAAGCATATATACGTACCTCTCTCCAACCCAACCAGTTTAGCAGCGAAGTTAATTTGCGCTATTTTGCATATTTCCTGCAGGCCAAACCCAGTGTGTCTGCAGCTCAGTCCCTCCCCCCCGCAGCGGGGGGTGTCCGAGTGCACAGCCCCCAGCGCTCCTGGGCCGTACGGACCGAGTGGCTTTGCACTTCACATGAACCCCACCGCTG